CTTGAGAGACCTCTAACATTTTTTTTCGTCTCAAAATGATAATTAACTAGGGAACATCCTATTTTCGGTTGTGCTGCTCACGTAGCCCTTGAAGCACCATTACAAATGAGACAAACGAAACTAACACAATATGGAAATAGAGCAAATGGATTGACGGCGCAGAGATACAACTATTCGTACTTGACGGATGTCTGTGATGCTTCTTCAAAATTGAAGGCGCCATGGCGCGAGCTGTGAATTCGCGATGTTCCGCAGCTCCGCTGTATGCTGCCAATAAGATGTCATAGGAAAAGTGAAGAAACTAGACTCGATTATTACGGCTCTCCTATTTACGGCTGTGTTACAGCAGTCTACAGCCTTTAAAGCACCGCTAAAAATACAGATAAGACAAACTGAAACAAACATAGCATGGGAATAGAGCGAAGTAAAAGGAGGCGCGTTGATGACGGCGCAGAGATACAACTATTCCTACATGATGGATGTCCGTGTAGCATCTGAAAAATTGAAGGCGCGATGGTGCTATGCGTGAACTGCTCCTTTCCATGCTGCCACTGAGGTGTCGCTCAGATTCGAGAGAAAAATTTAAAATACCCTATTACGTCTCGACTCTGTTGTTCCTCAATTTATTCTTCTTTTTTCAATTTGAGGTTTGATATTTTTTTTTTTTTTTTTTTTTTTTTTTTTTTTTTTTTTTTTTTTTTTTTTTTTTTTTTTAATGCACCAATATTTACAGACCTACATCTACGGCTCGTACTTTTAGTTTTTAAAAGCAGTGTTATAGGTGTTGCAAGCTCTGGGTCGATTCCTCTGGAAATAATGATGCATGGATGCGTCTGGTACCTAGTTTTGACTTAATATTTTTTTTTTTTTCATTTCACAAGTCTCCCGGTTACTTAAAGTGTTCAATTTTGCAATTTTTTGCTCTGTGCGATTACATAAGAAACTTCGAACCTAAAAATAGCGTAAAATTATGCTGATTTGCCAGAAGTTTCTGGACCGCCTTTAACGTCGGGGGGAAAAATACCACTTCACGTCACGCCCCTTTAGCCGTCTATAAGAGTCTACGCCCTGAGACGTGAGCCAGTCCGACCTTGCTGATGCAAACTATTTCTGAGTCTTTCGGATGAATGGTTTAAATTTTGCAAAGATCGGAGGACTGTTTAAATAAAATTTTCCATTTAAGGCCTAGATACACACGGCGATTAATCGCCGCGACGAAAGCCAATGGGAAGCCTTAATTTTGATCCATTGACGTCGATATATCGAAATCAAGGCTCTCCATTGGCTTTCGTCTTTCACTCGCTGCGATTAATCGCCGTGTGGGTCTAGGCCTTTAGCCGCTATTTCACTGAAAAAAAACGTTGCTGAAGTAACATCCCGTAGTTAAAAATATGTTCGAAAACTCTTGAATGTTGTTATAAGTAAAGTTATAGTCACTCTGGCTGTTAAAGTCACATCCTAGAATGTTAACAGCCGGAGTGTTCATGACAACATTCAAGAGTTGTCGCACAAATTTTTAACATCCGGGATGTTATTTTAGCAACTTTTTTTCTCGGCGTTGGATTTGATCATTTTCTCAAAACTTAAAACCCACACTTAGGGCTCTCTTGGGTAACTCGGCAGTGTAGAAAAGCTTATTCTTCTTCGCGCGTCTACGCGAAGTCGAGAACTGCGGATATGCGTTGAGCCCTGGCGCCTTGAACCCAAACGCAATCCAAGGCACAGCCGAGAAGATGGGCCTCAAGCTTGAGGCTGTCGGTTATTAAGCGGCGATTTTGAACCAATATTTGGGCAAGCGACTCACTTAAAGAGAGTAATTAAAGAGGCGATCATCGGAGAGAGGTCAGGTACTGTCGAGATGAAAGGCGCCGGGCGGCCAGGGAGGTGTATCACTGTGGCGCGCCGCGAAGGACCAGGCGCGGGGCCAGTCGGCCACAAAAGGGAAAAAGCTTGTAATTATTGCCCTTAAATGAGTCTTGATTTATCAATTATTGGCGGCCATGCTCCGTGTTAATAATATAATTGTTTTCCTGATTAGTAGCCGCTCGCAGGGTGCGCACCAAAGAGGAGCCTCTCTCAACACCCTTCACCGGGTTTCCATCACGAGACCGCAAGGGTGCAATCTTAGGGCACCCGAGATAGGCCAGATTTGTATGCTCAACTATTCAGAAACTCAAAACAAGTGAGAAAGCTCTGATTAGGCACGTAATTAGGCAGGGGGGCTTGGGGGCGCAACCCTCCCCCGAAAGCCAAAAAAAAAGGAGGAAAAGAGAGAAGGAAAGAGGAGACAGAAGATGAGAAAGTGCGAGAAAAGAAGTTTGAGACCGTCGAGGATATTTATCTTTTTTAATGTAGAGTCTTAAATGGAAACACCGTGTTCTTTCCTGAAATTTTCGTCAAACAAGCTTTCAAATGCGTCCAAATAGAGTTGAAATTTCAAAAATGTTCCATCTTTGTAACAATTTGAAAGTATTTTGTGTTTTTTGTGTTAAAGTAAAAAAACGTAATTTTCTGCATAAATTTATGGAAAATCTGTGCTACAGAAGCCATGGACGAATTTTGACTTGCAGACACATTTTCCCGAAGGTGAATGACGCATAAAAAGCGAGATGCACACTAAAAACGCAAAGAGGAAACTCAGAAGCCGAGAAACACGTAGTTCAAAAAGCGCTATTTTACAGCAAATTTAAAATGCTCCGATTTTGCGCCGAACTGAATATTGTCATCCGGCACCGATCAGGAGCGACCACGGGTCTCTACGACCCCCGTCGAATGTCTTTCTACTCCTCGTCTACTTGTCTTCAAGTACCTGTGTAACATCCTATATATTAAAATGCAAAGTTCCGAATCTTGGGGCATTAACTTTGAGAGAACCACCGGACCGATTTGCGTGATCTTTTTTTTAAATGAAAGCCCTGAGCTGTAGATTTGCAGGCTGTGATCGTTTTTTCGATTTTCTCAAATTTTCTCCCATAATTTTCTCAAATTTTCTTCGATGCATTAAAACGGAGGTCCGAATCTTTGGACGTTAACTTTGAGAGAACCACTGGACCGATTTGCATGGTTTTTGTTTTAAATGAAAGCCTGTGATCTGTAGATTTGCAGGCTGTGATCGTTTTTTCGATTTTCTCAAATTGTCTTACTTTTATCGACGAGTGAAGTTTAGCTGGGCTCAAATTTTCTCCCATTTATTCAGACTAAAGTCCGCATTTTGGGACATTAACTTTGAGAGAACCACCGGACCGATTTGCATGGGTTTTTTTTTAAATGAAAGCTTCTGATCTGTAGATTTGCAGGCTGTAATTGTTTTTTCGATTTTCTCAAATTTTCTTACTTTAATCGACGAGTAAAGTTCAGCTGTTTCGAGCGGTCATCTGGCCGCTACCTGCACTGAAAAAAATGATATAACGCGCTATACGAAACTGGTGTGGTAGGTACCCGTTTGAGGTGCTGTACAGAGCTGCCTAGTGGCGCGCATCAATTCGAATGGCGCGCGCCACAAAACTCGTTTGGTACAGCGCTGCGCGGTGCTGCGCCTCGCGGAATGTTTATGAATCTCTCTCAAACAGCCAGGCGGAACAAACACTAACATTCTCTGATCTCCTTTCATAATGGAGATGCATGATTTTACACTTTGGCCAATAGAATATATGTCACTTTTTAAAGAAAAGATACAGTTTAAGATGCTTGAATAGCAGACACTCACCTTCAGGCTTCCTTGGAAAAAATCCAGTAGTAAGATCTGACGGCAGTTGGGTACAAAGAATTTCAATGTAGATCCATAACGATGATAATTTCTATGAACTGATTTTTTAGTAAAATGTCCAGTAGACTGACACATTTACTTTAAGAATCAGATTTCAAGAAAGGTAATGGTTTTAAAAAAACCTATGTTCATGAGCACGGTGGATACGAAGGATGAATAAGGAGAACATAAGTATCACTGATTGTGAGTAATGCTAACTCTAGCTCACAAGAGAAAAGCTGTCAACCTAATATTTTACACTAGCCATTTAGCAATCATTGATCAAGAACTTTGGAGTGATAGGAAATCACAAAAATCACCAGGTACAGAATAGAAGCTAGTTGTAAGCGATTACTTGGAGCGTTAAAGTAGGTAATGAATATTGATAAGGTAACCATGTAAAATGTTCCTCAAGGGCATAAGATGGTGAGTAAGGGTGGTATTTTTCATCATTCAATCTAAAACCAATACCGACAGTTTCTATTTACAAATTAACATTTAATAGAGAGAGGAATTAGTATCCTTATTAGCCTTGAAACTGTTTAGCGCAGTCGCTCAGTAAATCCCAAATCTTAGAAGAAAAGCGTTTAAAGAATTTCTCCAGTTGAGCACATATTTTGGTGCATTGATGTATCTCTCTGTAGTTCTAAGCACAAAACATTGAATTTTCATGGGTATAAGAGAGTTTTAGATGAAATAGGAAAATTATCAAGTAAATCATGGAACCCAGGCAATCTAGCGTATCATGCATCCATCAACATCTTGCCCTGGTATTTAACATTCTCAGAGGTGGACATGGGAAAAGCGAAGTAAAATTTCGTTTGAAAAGATTATAAAATGAAAACTTCTAGACAACTAGGAAATGGAAAAAGCACAAAGTAATCTTACTTTGAAAACAAGCAATCAAAGAGATTAAGGTCTCGGTCGACATTGTGGGCAAGTGCACTTAGGAGCTAGAGTAGCTCCAAAACTTCACGGCATCACAAAACCAATTAGGTTCGAACATGTTCAAGATAAATATATCCTTGATTATAATTATATTTAACGAATAAACATGCTAAAAACTACCGATATTATGTATTGTGAGGGATCTGAGTGATATGAACTTGGTAATGGCCGGAACTTCGGTTTGGTACGATCGCGGTTTTCCACACATAAGACACGATGTTAGGAAAAGTAATGTAACAAACTGTTGAATACTAGAGTAAACATGAGATAGGGTGAAATTAGAATTAAATGTTTAAAGTCAAAGAGATACAAGAAAGAATATTGGCATGTTTTGATGACGAAGACACTGATAACAATCCAGACCAACAACAACCTAGAGTCCCTTTATACTGAGAGTCAAGACAATTTGAATCCATTTCTGATTGGTTCCCGTATTTTAGGCCTCCACAGTGTCACAAACGGGAATAAAGATTACATTTTCACCAATTGCAAAGATTATAATCTGGAATGGACCAGGGAATTACGGGTTCGGCAAGGAACAAACGGAATGAGAGGAGGAACGGAGAAAGGCATTTGAGAATGGGCCGATCAAAGATTACGAAAAACGTTCAATTTCTGTAATCTTTATTCCCGTTTGTGACATCCATGAGCTGAATTGTCTTGACTCTCAGAATAAAGGGACTCTACAACAACCTGCCTTACTTACTGTTCATAGCAAAAACATCAATTATTAAAGATAGCAGCACTATCAACCCAAGAAGCGGGAAAAGAGAATAATCATTTAAATTAAAGCGGGGACTTTTAAATTGACGCACCCGAAAAAGGGTCCGAAACCTTTGTAGTTGATACCTCAACGCAACGGCCATTTTTGTAACAGCTCGGAATGATTTGCCGTGGATGATGGTGTAAACGAGATAAATCGTGCCGCTTACCAAACTTGTTTGGTGCGCGGCATAAACCAGTACGTGACGTCAGTTTCTCACTAAAAAATTCTGGTACGCCGCACTAGATTCTCGTTCTGCGCATCAAACTCTTTTTTCAGTG